TTAATTATATTTTAAATTTTCTTTTTTCCTTTTGTACCTTTTTCTCAGGTGCGATTAAATTTATGGACAGTATGTCTTAAATTTTAAAGGGGTTACATACACCTAAGAAGGATAAAAATAGGGGAATATTCGAGAATTTTTTTCGTTTATAAAATTTTACTATATTGAATTATTAATATTTGAAAGTATACACGTTTAACAGCAATTCTAAAACATTTCATTCAAAACTTTTTGAAAATGATGGAAATATGTTGGTTGGGTAAAGTAAATTTTTGGAGACGGCGTTTGCGGTAGCAGAGATATTTTCGTCAATTTTTATTTGAAACAAAAAAAAAAAACGAAATATTTATTTCAAGTAGATGAATAAAATTAGTACTTATCCTAGTCAATTTTGCAAATCTCAATTTTTCAACAAATGACAGTTATTTGAACTCAAAAGTGCTATTGTAGACCTAAACTTTATTCACTTTTTATATTCCAAAAAGGAATTATGAATGATACGAAAAAAATCTGACAAGTACTAGATAATTATATTAAAAATAACTATGCCAAATTTCAGCGAACTCAATTTATTAATCCCCGAGATATTTTTGGTACCGATTATGAAAACACTGTTTCGAGTAAAACACGTTTAAAGTTTCGAATACGGTATATACTTATATGAAATTGTTATTTTGGTAGATAGTTTCCAAATGAGAATGTTTAAATTTTCGTTATTGTTCTGGGTGAACCCTCGCATATAACGTTCCAACAAATTATTATCGGAGAAGTCTTCATAAACGGACTTGATTGCACTCAGAACTTCTGGTGGATCCTGGAAAAACATTTTCATGTTTAGCTTTCCATTATTTATATTCAGCAGTATCTGTTTTTGATTCCCAATTTTCATACGATTCACAATGTGCAGATTTTACAAGAACTATGATATGATTTTTTTCATGAGTGCTTCGGTATGCTTGTACACTTTCTTCAAAATGAAACCATAGGATTTTTTGTTAGATAAATTCGAGTCGTTCTGCCAGTAAAATATATTATAGTAGATTTAGAAGAACAATAGAAAAACGATACGAAAATAAAAGAAAGTGAGATGGCGGTGTTAGCTGCGGTGATTCCTGCGAATCCTGACGCCAAAATAATTTTTCTGGAGAGATTTGAAAAAATTCTCCCTCCCCTACAGCATAAGATAAGATCATTGAAAACTCAGTATGTTACTTATGGGATGTTTAATTTCTTTCGAAAACTTACAACAAGTACTCAAACGTTTTACCATTACATTGTTCAGTAGTTCAGCACTCATATTTAAATAATTATTGCTGATTCTTTTCTTTATGTTATCTATCGAAACAAAAGGTTGAGTATAGTTCGACACGCAAAATTAAAACTTTTCATGCGCATACCTAAGCAAATGAGCGATAAACAGAACATACGCCATTTCCACTACTCTACAGTCTTACACTGTCTTCACTTACGGGAAAATTCTGGTATTAGATAGACAAACGGTTTTTAAGTAGCTGTTGGTAATGTTACGCACTGAGAAAAGAATAGGAAACAAGAAATTCCTGTCTTGATCTCCTACCTGTGTCGGTTCGCAAGATAAACATTTAATAGCATCTAGGACGTTAATTTCCAAATGATTCGCATACGAAAAACTGATATTGTAAAGAAAACCTCAAAGAGATGTATTGATACTTTTTCAGATTTAAAAAAGTGAAAACTAAACATTTTTTTATTATTATCGAATGGTAAAAATAGTTTTCTGCACTCATCTGTTACCGACTGCTCACGCGAGGCTCGATCGTCGCCTATCGTTAGTCATAGAAGATTAAGTGCGATAGCTTTATCCTATCGTGATTGGTTGACTGTCAGCGAAGACGTTACAAGTTCTTCTCCATCACTCTCTTTCTGATTCTAACTCCTAGAAGTTTCAGTTTTGTGTGATCGATCTATACACCTTATTTTTTTAGCAAACCCCACAAGAAAAAATTATGGGAATTCAAATCAAGTGAACGTGATGGCCAAGGCATTGGACTGTGGGTGTCAAACCATTTTTCTCCATATCTTTCTGTTAAGTATCTTGTCACTATCGGGCGTTATAAACTGATGCCCCATCTTGCTGATAGTATTTTAGACTGCATCGTATTTGTAGCGGAACATTATCCAGCAAGGTGGGCAATATAAATTCCAAGAAATGCCGATATCGTTCACTGTTTAAACTTTAAACTTAGAAATGTTGCTGGAGAAAAAATATGGACTGATAAGGCACATATTAAAGATTCCACACCACACATTGATGTTGCGTCTTAATTATTTGCACTTTTTCGAAGATGCGCATTTTCTACGCACCATGCGTGCTTATTATGCCGATTGAACATTCCATTATTCGTAAAAGTCCTTTCATTTGTCCATAAAATTGTTCGGCCAAAGTTTGCGTTACTTTCCTCATGTCGTAAAAAGAATCGGCAACGTCGCATTCTTCATAAGGCATCTCCGCGTGTAAAATATGTTCTATGAAGTGACGATATGAATGGAAGTTTTGGAACTTGAAAATCCGGGAAACCGAACTCTGACTGATATCACATTTTTTCGCTATGTCTCTTCTTGAAGCAAAAGGATTGAGGTTCACATGTGACAACAATTGTAAATTAATGTTTTCATTTTGTACAACTGGTTTTTTACCATTTTTTTCAGTTTGTTGAAATGAACCATACTCTCGTAAGTTCTTTTCTACTTTTCTGAAGTATGTTCGCTGGGATTGTACCCGATTAGGGTACTTTTATCGTACTTAATGTATACAATAGACTTTTTTTTTTCTTTATAAAAATTATAGCGATACATTTATCAACGGGAATAATTTACCACACCACTCGAAACTGTATGGTTACTACTTGAATCAGATGTACATTTAAATGTCAAATGATTAAGTTTAAATGTGAGTGCTGAACAACTAAGCAATGTAATGGAAAACGTCAAGAAATGTATAAAAAAAAAATATTGAGAATGTAATGATGAAACGTTTGAGTACTTGCTGTAAGTTTTCGAAAAAAATGAAATATCTCGTAAAGTATTGAGTTTTTAATGACCTTACCTTATACCTTTTATTCGCAGAATCACTCGCAGAATTACTTTATGCTAAAAAAATTCGTGCATTAAAGAAAATGTGCCATAGGATACTACAGCTTGTTAAACGGTGCAAAATTTTCCTGTACGATTTTCTTCTAAGTTAAATTGGAACAAAGCTATAGCCTGGCCATTTGTTACAATCTTACTTACAATCTCGTTTACACCTTTCAATCTCTCACTAGCTGTACTCGTGCTTATTGCCTCTTCTTTCGCTTGAAATTTATTTTTTAGAAGTATCTTCATCTTTCTTACATTCTTTCTAAGTTGCTCGGAGAGATGTAGCTCTCGTGAATTTGCCCTGCGTTCCATTGTTTCAACTTTTGCGACCGCAGTCACTAATTCAAAGCAAGTGCCCAAGCTGAAGAAGTGTTGTATTCTCTAATTCTCAAGATATTCCAGAAATTACATATGTTTTCAACCTCCAATTTTGATAGTTTTTTTCACCCCTTCAATATATGTAGATGATTGCCGATAAAAAAAATACATATCAAATATTTTTTCGTAAACCATCTTCCATATAAGTTTTATTAAAATCGGTGTGTGTGAGTTTAATATGTCCCCTTGTCAGTAACCATATACTTTTATTTTGTATAATTGGTGATACAAAGATACACAATTATTATATTATACAGCATTCGTAATAGTGCACCAATAATGTTCTAGTTAATGGTAAATATTTAATTATTTTTTCAGGTGGTGGGTTTTATAGGGCATATTGCCCTCAATACTATGGTACACCACCACAGTACCCAGATCTGTGTTATCCACCAACATATTCTCATCCGCATACTCATCCACCGCCTTATTACAAATATGCACCAACTTATAGAAGGTAAAACATTTTTGTCATAGTATCTCGGATGATCTTAATTACATTTTATAGGGAAGATTTTTATCATCTTCTAATGTTCTGTAAAAAGGTATTTTTTCAGGCAGTATTATGGGTATCAGGAATCCGGTGGAGGCAGCGGTCCTGGTAGCGGTGCTACTGCAGGAGGTCCAGCAGTTGTTGATTATCAAGCACCACCACCGCCACCTGGTGACTATCCTTTGCCTCCTTATTATGGAGCATATCCTCCACCACCACCGCCCCCACCTCCACCGCCTAATCCGGCATACTTGCATTCTCAGGGAAGACCTTTTGTAGATCGTAAGTATTATGGCTGGTATATCTTTTTCAATGTTATTTATGTATGTCAAATAGTTTTACCGTTGGATTAGTTTTCTAATTTTTTCAATTGTATATTACATTAGATAATGTTACTTAAAAAGATTAAAGGAATGAATATGTATATTATCGTTGTTTTACCAACGGTTAGATTATACGAAGTAGTAAAAGAATAAGTTATGAGCTAATATTTCATAATTTTATCTTAGATGCAGCCTTCCAGGGTTGTCCATGCCCGATGCAGTCTTGTCCAAAAAACGTGGATACTGGGCCCCTTATTGGTAATGGTAAGGGAGCGCCAGTGGTATCGGGGCCCGGTCTGTCATTGCCGCCCAGTGCTTTGGTAGGTCCGCCCTCGCCGGCGAGGGGGCTAGCCGGGCTAGCGCCACCTCACGGTGCCAATGCCTGGGATACGGATCGCGTCCAACTTAACACTCATCGCAACCTGAATCAGAACCAACCCTCGGTCCCTCCGTCACACAATTTAGTCGGTGGACATAATCGCCCACAAAATTCGGATTGTAAGAATAAGGTTTGTGTTCTACTCTTAGTACTTTTTAAGTTTATAGTGGTTTGTTAGTGGAAGGAGGAGAGAGAGAAATAGAGGAAGAGAGAGGTGGAAAGGCAAGTGTGTTTTGTGTTGAGCTTTCTGCTGTAGTGTTATGTCCATTGTGTAGTCTGAGGCGTCTATGGCAAGGGTTAATTGAGCTAGTGGTAGCTAGTTGAGCTTGAGGTAGTGGATGATTCAGTCTATTGACGAGTTCTTTCGTGGTGGTAGTCCTTTCAGCATTTCGGTCAGAGGTATCTGAAGCTCTATTACTTTCGAGAGAAAACGCCTGTAGAAATTGATCATTCAGGATCGTTCGTTTATGTTGCCAGGATGACTTGTATCGACTATAGAAGTTTGTTGAAACACAGGAAGCTTAGGAAGTTGTCTGGTACAGGTTTACCTATGAGGTTTCGAATACTGGTCTCTTATTCTTTCGTGTTAGAATAGTTGCGAATCTTCTATTCACGCGATACGATAGTCGGGTGATTATCTTGTCTTTCTGGCTGGAGGGACCAAAATGTCGGTTTATCTGGTCAAAATGATGAAACGCATTCTAAAGCGACTGATCAAGTTCATGGGGAATATCGCTGGATGCTGCGAAGTTGGTAGTCATTGCATGGAACAGTGACTTTAGTACAACGGTTACTGTGTAAAGATAACACCTTCTTACTGTACTTGAATTGGTATTCACTACACAGCTAATTGCGTTCACTACACAGGAAGTGGCCACACTTCAGGATAAGCCCACTTTATGGCGATTTGTTAGTGGAAGGAGGAAAGTGGTAGATAGAGAAAGAGTAAGGACAGGCAGAATAGGAAGGAGGAAGGGGAAGCCTGTTTTGGCCAGGAAACCCCTAGTGGACTCGACAGTAAGGCTATCTAGGAGATACGTAGACGCGAGAGATAGTTAGGTTTGGATCAGAGATTGTATATGTATGAATAAAAGGTTAGGTGAGGATTTATAAGAAAGATTGGTGTTTTGCTAATTAGTCCCTCTGGTGGTGAAGTGTAGGAGGTACCACCACATGTTAAATCATGCTATCTTATCTATTTTATCTAGTTCTGTATTATTCATGTAATTCGGTAATCGCTCATTTGTTATTCTAGAATTATGTCTCTTGCATTATTATGGAAGTAAAGAACATAATGTAGAAATTAATAGATTTTAAGGTACCTTATTGTATTTAATATCTGTGATTTAAGTTGAATGTGTTATTAAGTAATGTATTAAGTTGTTTTTATTGTTATATGTATTTTAATGTACATTTAATAAAAATAAAAATCACAACATTCATGTTAACTATTTTAACAATTTTTATATATCTAAAACAGATATACTGATATTCTGATTCTATAACTATGTGATTCTTTTAGGATGAAAAAGATTGTGCAGAGGACAAGCTACAAAAGTGTGGGTGTCAGAAACATGCCTGTACTTCAACCTGTGAAGTTAAAATGGAAACTCTTTCACCTACTGAAAAGCTAGCAGTGACAACCTGTCCAAGTAACAAATTTCACAACTTTAAATTGGAAAATAATAATGTGAAATGTGAATCTTGCAGTGTGGAAATGGGCGATAATTTATCCTGTGTTGCAAACTGTAATGTTAAGTGCGAATCAGATTACAAGTGTGATATAATGAAATGTGAACAATGTATGAAAGAGAGAAATCTAGAAATTGACAAGGATTCTGGGATATTACTTGATGATAAATTAGATACAGATCCAGATGTTAAGGAAGAATTGAGTGATGTTGTTGCAATTGACAATGAAAATTGGAAAAAGCCAGATTATGAGCCAACAGTTCAAGAAACCATTGAAGAAACTGTGGAACAGGAAAGTATAAAAAAGACAGAAACAGAGCAAGAGTATTCAAAGTGTCAAAAAGTATCAAAAAGGAAGTTATCTTTAGATAGTTTATCTGATAGCAGAAAAAAGAGGAAAGTCAGTAAAAGGACTCTTTCTGTTGGCTCTTCACAAGATCTTAATAATAGTAATTTTGCAACAAAAATTTCTATACCAATCTCATCTCTTATAAAAAAGATTGATAACAATGCTGATGAATGTGTTTTAAAGAAAAAGCACTCTAAAAAAGATAATCAGAATCAAAAACGCAAAATAGAGAATTCAAATTTTTCTGAAAATACAATAAAGAAGTCAAAGACTTCTAAGCAGAGTACAAGTAATCATATTCCAAATTGTTTAAAACATGCTGCCAGTGATAATTCTATTATGGAAACTATTAACAATGTTATTCAACAAAGCTTGCAGATGACACAGAAAAAAGATCGTAAAAATAAAAATGTTGAAAAATCAGAAAAAGCAAAGCAGGAAACGAACCTATTATCAGCTGTAAAAAAAGTAGTTAAAAAAGTTGATCTGGTAAAAGAATTGGCATCAATGAAATTTTCAAAGGTAATTGCAAAAAATGGCCAATCTAAAAATAAAACAGAAATACGAACAAAATCAAAAACACAGGAGAAAAATAAATGTAAAGGAAAAGGTAAATCCAAAGCACAGGAAGCAAAGACGAAAGATAATAAAAAACAGGATAGTATAACAAAATTTAAAGCAAATGAGATTCAGGAATCCGCAAAGAAGTCAACTTCGATTAAAAAGAAGCGAAAAAATGTGAAGAAAGCACCTATCAAAAAATCTAACTCAAAAATTGAAGATTGTTTAGTAGGAAATGAGAATTTAATATTAACTAGAAAAACATTTTTAAAACCCAAGTGGAGTAATGGTTGGAGTTGGGAAGGCGATCCATTTGAAGCCAAAGTTTATTTAACGGTAAAAATTTAACTAACAAATTTTTTCTTGATACTAGTACCCCGAGTTATTAGTATAAAATATATTGGACTGCGAATAGTTAAATGCTACATGTATCTCTAAATAATGTTTCTATTTATTATTTCTAGAACGAAGAGTCCGCGATACGTCGATGTTATGCGAGCATGAAACATGAAAGTGGTGATGTATTAAGACCTCGTGATTGCGTTTTATTAAAAAGTGGTCCACGAAAAGCAGATTTACCATTCGTAGCAAAAATTGCCGCCTTATGGGAAAATCCAGATGACGGTTTGTTCCTTATAGAATTTTTCACCATAGTGAAACAAACTTAAAATAAAAACGGGGTTCGTTACAGGTGAAATGATGTTTTCCTTGCTATGGTACTACAGACCCGAACATACCGAGCAAGGTAGAACTCAGTATGATACTGAAGACGAAGTCTTCGCTTCACGGCATCGGGATGCAAACAGTGTTGCTTGTATAGAAGATAAATGTTATATTTTGACATTCAATGAATATTGTCGGTGAGTTTTAAATGAAGTAACAATATAAAAATATAGAAGCAGAATTTATTTTTTATCATAGCTTAGAAGGTTATTAGTAATTACTTCAGTAGAGTAGTTAAATATAGCATAGAAAATGGCATATCAGACCTTAAACGATTAAATGTCATAATAATATGATTATTGCTATAATTTAAAGGTATCGTAAAAATTTACGAAGAATTGAAGAGGGGTTAGAAAGTCCCGGTTTAATAGTTCCACCCGGAGATCAATTATATCCAAGAGAAAATCGACAACCTCCGATACCAGTGCCCTCAGATATGGTCCTGTTTTGTCGACGCGTTTATGATTATCGCGGTAAAAAGCTTGTTAAGAATCCTGGATGACTCGATTTTTTATAAAGCACTTTGAACAGGAACCAGTGGAATGCACAAAGTTTGCAACATAAATTGAAACTGGACGTAGGTCTCCCTTCAAGCGTTATTATATATTGATCAATTTATTTTGATTTTACAAATGAATGGAAGTTTGATGAATTTTTCCATGATTTTTAAAGCTTTACATCTATAAGAATTTTTCACAGATTCGTCATAATTTTTGTTATGATGACAGGTTACAGTGTAAGTGTAGAGTTTCCTACTTGCATGTTGTCTATTTTATGTAATGGTTCTTCGGCAGATCTGTTTCATTGCGTTAAAATTTTACTTTTTTTAAAGAGAATAAAAAGTGCTAGACATATAGGACAAAATAACGCAATAAAATCGAATTCTTAAATTCGCTAATATGAAGAAGAAGAATAATATGAATACTGTTTTAAACTAATAGTCTTATAAGGTAGATATCGCTGCTTTATCCATTTTTCCACGTTTTTAACTTGCGACACGATAAAAGTCTTGAATTATTTATTAATTTTGGTAATAAATGTTCTGAAGTTAATACTTCTAAATCGCGATGAAAATAACATAACAGCGTAAAATATAGTACCAAAAGTGACGTATCTAAATGGATAATAAAGAATATGCAATGATGGCAGATATCTTGATAATGAAAATAACATTTCACAAGAGCCCAATATTCATGGATCAAAAAGTAGTTGGTGGTGCCATCAATGTTTCATCGATACGGGTTGTTTTATCGCGAATGCAATACGTTTTTAGGGAGATAATAGAATTTGACAATTTTATAGAGAGAATAATATTTTTTGTGAGATAGTATTTACAACACTTAAATGAATATTTTTCACATTGGGAATACAAATACATATATGCTATGTATTATTATGGTATTATGGCCCTTCTTGGAGGGAACCTTCGAACAGTTTCAAGGTAGAAATCAAACGCCTGGGGTATTCGACCACTTAGCAATGAAAATATGCGCTGTGTTCTATGGACGAAAGATGAAAGAGAGAAAAAGAATTCCGTATTAGTACGAGAATTCGCAAGACCCATGCACATGCATTATTTTAATACACAGAATTAATATAAGTTTCATTTTTAATATCGATCGTCGATATCAGAGTATCGTGAAATGGAATTGATCTGGTTAAAATTTTACTAAAACGGTAAACTTCACGTACTCGAACAATTATAACTTGTTTTTGAAAATTACGAAATTCAGGTTCAAATTTTTCGAACTGCCATATCACAGAAAATATATAATAATTCTTTTTTGCTGTAAATTTATAAATATTTATTTATTTTGCTTTTACGCTTTTAAATGAAGCACAGTCTTACTGAGTACGTTGAATCAGTAAAAAAGAAACGTAATTTAAATTATTTATAT